GGGAGGAGCTGGGGCTGGGGATGCTCTGAGCATGTGGGAGCAGGTGGGATGGCTGGAGGGAGGTTGCCATGGGGGAAGGGGCTGGATTGCTCATAGGTCCCTGGGGCTGACTGCAGTCTGTCTGTCCCTAGCCAAGTGGGTGGGAAATCTGTAACCCAATTAACTGCTAGGAACACAGTACTGACCCTAAGGGTCTGTGGGAGTGGCTCAGTGCCTCTGATGGGTACTTCAGGCCTTCACAGGGTCTGGTGCTGCTGGTCACTACTGAGAAAGGAAATGTTTCCCAGAGCCAGACTACCACTGTTCTGAGTCTCACACCCTTGGGTTTACACAATCATCCTGCCTCTTATGGGAAGTGAACCTCCCTGGCCCTCCTACCTGGGAAGAAAGCTGAGGAGGCTGCAGCCAGCAGGATAGAGCCCAGAGGCCAGCGCAGGACTCTTCCTTATTTTTTTAGCTAGATTGTTTCTCTCGTGCTAGTCTTCTGGCAGGTTATGATGCTAAATGTGCCTGTGTCTGTCTGGGCCTGGCTTTCCTGTGGTGGTGCAAAGGCCTTGGGGTACATGCATGCTGCTCCCCTGGGAGCTTGTGCTTGCTAAAAGGAAGCTTGTCCTCTGGACCATGGGCTGTGGAGCCCAAGACCAAGTGCTACAGGGCTGTGCCTTCCCTGCCTCTCCTAGTGCTGCTCCATGCTTCTGGAGAGTTGTGAGTCCCCAGGGCAGGGTGCATTTGGACCTCGGGGCCACCTGACCCTGTGCTTTGCCATGTCCTGGACCTAGTACTGTAACAACCATACCTCTAATTAAAGGTAGACAGACCCAAATTGCTGCCCTGTGCTTCTTTCCATGCTCTGTAGGCCAGCGTCGGTCATTCCTGGGGTGGTGGGTGCAAATGCTGCTGCAGCAGGTGTGGGGATGCTTGGTGTCTGTCTGTGTGTGTTCAGGGGCATGTGCTGTCTCCAGGGCACCTCTCTTAGGCCGAGAAGTGGAGATGAAGGACCCAGCTCCACTGTGCTTCTCCCTGTCCTCCAGTCTGGGGTTGCTGCTAACCTCAGTTCTGTAACCATGTGTGGCAAGGCTGCCCTGGGGGATCTAAGCTTCACCAAGAGGCATTTCTATTTAGCCAAAGAAATACCCCCTTGTGTCTCCCAGTTCCGAGTTAGCTCCACGTGCTGCCAAATCCTGCCTAAGTCTGCTGCTTCTGTGCATTAGGCAGGGTGGGAGCATGCAGAGGAGAGCAGCTCAGTGGTGGAGCTGCTGCTTTTTCTTTGAATGCTCTCATCCTGGTGGGTGCAATGGGGTGGGGGCTCTGCGGCAAACCAAACCCCATAAATGTTCTGGGTTAAAAATAACCCTGCAGAAAAGGGAGTGGGGAGAGAAGAGAGGCTATTTTTAACCCAGCATGCAGCAGCATTTGATTCTGGTGTTGGTCTGCAGTCAGTCTGCATCACTGCAGCTGGGAAAATGTGGCTCCATCCTCTCCAGCCCTGACACAAGAGCATACTTCCTGGCCAGATCCTGCTGCCCTTGTACTACAGTCCTGCTCCCCTTCCCAAGCTGTGTGCCCTCTTCCACCACTGGTTTGTGTGCCCTGGGAAAAGGAACAGTGTCTAGGATGGCAGGAAGAGTTGTGACCAGTGCAAATCTACTGGGGAGGCAAAAAACACCCTACCCCATCTTTGCTAATGCCACACACTTGATGTCCATCTCCTCCAAAACCTGCCCAGGATGCTTCATGCAGGAGTGAATTGTTTACTTTGTTACTTTTGATGCTCTGCGTTTCTGGTGAGTCAGTCCCTTGCAGCAGCAACACATGGCTCCCAACTCGGAAACCCCTCATTCCAATGAGAAAGTGAAGAGATTCAATGCACTTGGCTTATCCAAGAAGGGATGAAATGAATACCATGAGAAAGGGTTGCTGGTAAGAAAAGTCCTGATCAGCTGTTAGAGAGGGGTCTAGGGCTGAATCAGCTTTGGGTTATCAGGGCAGAGAAGTGCTGGAAAAGGCTTCCCTAGGACCATAAGCTGTAGCAGTCAGCACAAGGGGGTGACTGGCCCAAGGCAGAGACCCTGCTTACCTGCAGAACTGCATGGATGGTCCTGGGGTAATTGCTGCTGCTAGCCTGAGCCTGAGCCACAATGCATTTTGGTCATTCGGAGTGGTTCAGAGGGGCTTCCCCACATCTTAAGGGGCAAAGGGCTTTTGCCATTACCTTATCTCAGTTTCTACTGCCTGTGTGTGCCAGGGGCCATTGGAATTGGGAGCAGGGAAGACTGCTGTTATCAGGTCATCAGAGCAAAAGTAATTCCACATCAGCAGTGATGCCATAACCTTGTGTAACGAGCAGGCCGGGCCACAGGGGAAGAGCTTGGTGCCGTAATGACACAGTGGCATGATGTGGTGTCAGGCAGGCAACCTGTGCCTTGCCTGCATATGGAGCTAAGTGCAGGAGGTGGGCTAGAGCCTGTCAAGGGCTGAAAGTGCCTTTCTGAATATTGGGGACTTTTGGAGGCACATGGAAGGAAACAGACTGGGGAGCAAGATTTCTGCCTGGTTTTGATCTTCAGAAAAAGCAGGCAGACATAAAGAAACCCCTGCTAAGTGCCACCCCTGGGGCAGCTAGTGTGGCCGGGCACAGCTAAAGGTGGGGGCATAGGAGTCTTGGCAACACAGCAGCCAAATGACTGTGTCCTCAGTGGAGCTGCCTGAGTTGCTCAGGAGGCTCAAAGCTAATTGTCTTGGGGCTGTTAGAGGTGGGACAAGGTTGTGCGTGCTTGTAGAATGGTCTTGTCTGATGTGAGTGAGCCTGCAGGACCAGGATGTGCCTTGGGATGAGTGCTGGACGGAGAGGAGGACTAGTAATGGTATGGTGAAGAAGGGCAAGGGGTGGGGGAGGATAATCTCCAGCCAGTGGCAGATGAGGAGAGAGTCCTGGCAGTGTGTCCTGGCCTGACAAAAATATCCCTAAACTTGGGACTCTCATCAGGGCTTGTTGCTTCCCTGGACAGTGGTACCTCCTTGGCAGCTGCTGCCTGAGCTGTTGCAGGTGATGAAGTTGTGTCATGTTTGAGCAGGGATGTGGGCATGCCAGTGCCATTTGTGCTGGTGCCCTGGGGCAAGTCAGCAACCTGTCTGGGTGTTGGGCTTGCACCAGATAGGCTCATCAGTTTGGATGAGCCAGACAATGGTACGGGGGGGGGGGTCCCTGACTCCGTGGTCATCATGTCCTGTGAAGGACCAGGGTGAGGGGGGAGCCATGTAGTCAACACTAAGCCTGCTTTGGGCCAGAGCTAAATCCTTAGTTGCAGGCAGACAAGAGGATGTTTGGAGCCAATTCCAGCCACTCATCAGCAGCATGCCAGAACCTTATCAGTGCCACTCAGCCATCATCCTGGCTTGTGTCTCTGTGTCCAGGATGGCAGTGGCACTCTGCAGCGCAGCAGCTCCCTGGGGAAAATCCGGGATGTGATACGGAGGAGCAGTGAGATGTTGGTCAAGAAACTGCAGGGCAATGGTCCCCTGGAGCCCAGGAACACCAGGTAGGTAGAAGGATCAGGCTGGGTACAGGGCAGGTGGGGGCCCTGACACCTTGTGGGTCTGGATCTGATCAGACACAGCGTGGTCAAACCTGCTCTCCTCTGCTTTCTTGTAGCATGAAACGAGCTGCATCATTAAATTACTTGCACAAGTCTAGCGATGCTTCATTTGAGGTAAGCTCAGGGTGGGTGCAGGGACTGGTACAGGAGTGGGCAGTGGGGAGTGGGCAGTGCATCACAGCTGGTGAGGGGCATAATAGCGGGCCACAGGTGCAGTGCCTGAGACCTCACAGTGTGTGCACTCTGCGGCTGTGCAGTGTTGGAGCCACTCTGCCTAGGCTGGTGGTCCCACGGCACCCCTGGGCAGCTGCAGACCTCTTCCAAGGTCATAGCTCCAAACCTGAAGGTGTTGCCTCCAAGTACCCACCTCCCTGCCTGCTCAGCAACCCCTCCAGCCACAGAATGAGAGCAGAGGCAGCTCTTAATGGGTCTAACAGCAGCACCAGGGCATCTCTGGCTTGTGAGGCAAGGGGAGTTGGGGTAGCAGCTTTGGGGCATGGGATTGGACTGCAAGTACCTCACCGGCACTGTATTTTTTCTAGGGCACCCAAGGCCTCCGTGCAGAGAGCAGAGGCCTCAGCGCCAGCAGCATGGACCTGTCCTCCCACAGCTCCCTGCTCTCCTCCAACTGACCTGGCTGCTCTGCTGCTGGGCACCCTGGCTTCGCGCTGCACAGGGCAGCACCCGGCACCTCCCCCCACCACCTGCTCTGTTTTCCCCATCACCGGCTCTTGTGCCACCGTCTGTCTGCCCAGCCCGGCCTCCCCCGGGAGTCCCTAGCTAGTTTGGGCACCGCAGCCCGCCCGCATGCTCCTCTGCCGCACATCGGGCTCAGCAGCCCCGGTGGCGGCTTGCTCGGTACCGGTCGCACACGCTCGCCAGGTAGAATCGCCAGCCCGGGGAGGGGGGGCGGGCTATCCCACGGCCGGGGCAGTGGCAGAAGTGCCCCGTGCCCCTGGACGCCGGTCCCCCGCCGGGTGATCGCTGTACTTTATTTTATTAAATAAAACCGACCCTAGAAGCGACCGCGGCTCGGCCTGAGGCGGGGTGGGCGGGGGGGGAGCGGGCGCCGCCTGGCGGGGGGACTGCGGCGACGGTCCGCGCGCGGTCCGCCGGCGCGCCAGGGGGCGCTCCCGCTGCGCCGCCCCGAGGCGGTGCCGCTCCCGGCGCCGTTCCCGGCGGACGCGATGGCGCGGATCACGCTGGAGGACCTGGAGCGGCTGGGCGAGGAGCCCGCGGCCGCCGGCGGGGACGGCGGCGACAGCGAGGACGACCAGGAGGAGCAGGGCCGGCTGTTCGCGCACTGGGAGGCCGTGGCCAGCACGCATCGAGTGAGCCTGCCCCGAGGTGAGCGCCGGGCCGCGGGGGTGGCGCGGGCCCGCCGGGGCTGACGGCACGGACCGGGACTCCTCCTGCGCTGCGGCCGGGGCGAGCCTTGTCTCTCCTGTTGCTTTGCCTTGCAGACATGGCAGGCCCGATCGCCCAGATGGCCCGGCACAACCAGGCTCGCGAGCCTGTGCCGTACGTGTCCCTCTCGCAGCACGGGAAGGTGAGGCCGGACCCGCTCCGCACACCGGGGTTCTCGCCCGCTGCCCGCCCGTGGTGAGGCAGGCACCGGTGCTGCTGCCGGCCCGGGGAGCAGGAAGAGCCTCTCCCCGTGTCGGCAGGCGCGCACAAGCCTCACAGAGGTTCCCGCAGAAGCATCCCAGGATGGCACCTCTGGATCGGTGCAGTATTCTGGCGTTCCTGCATCTCCTCCTCTGTAGAGTAATGGCAGTGCTCAACTTCCCGGCCTTTATTTTAAAATTGGACTAGTCCTGCTGCTTTCTCTGGTCTTCTGACTTCTAGCTGCCTCCTTTACCAACCTGTCCTCTGCTGGGGTGGGCACATCCAAGAGAGTGAATTTTCAGTTCAGAATCTGCTCCCTGCCTTGCTCAATACTCCTCATTGCGTAGCTCAAAGCCCTGCTGGCTTTGCATTTGTGCTGGTTATGTGGCTACTGTTTAAGCTGGAGATCTCAGCTGGCACAAGATAAATATGGTTCTGTGGGGAATGCAGGGCCTCTGGCCCTTGTCGTCAGACCTGAGCATGTGTTGTTACTTGTCACAACTGCCAATCCAAACATGGTGTCTTCTGCCTGAAGATCTGCTCTCCATGCTGGTCAAGTTGCACACTTCTTCTCATCTCTTGCACATATGGGTGCTTCTGAGCTTTGAGAAATAACTGCTTGTCAAACTGGTTCCTGTGTCTCTGCAGGCCTCATTGGACTTGCTACCCAAGACATCTGTCAGTTGTCCTCTATATGAGGGCAGGTTAACCAATTTCTTCTGGGCTGAGGTCCAGCACTCCCTGTAAAACATGTCTGAGCATGTGGGTTGTGCAGCTCTGAACTGGGGCTTCACCACACTCTCTCTTTCCCTGTTCTTCTGGTCCCAGGGACTTAAGCTGGCCTCTTCTCCACCTGCGTTGATCCCAGGCAGGAATGGGGCCCCAGGACTTTGTAGGAACTGAAGATCTTTTGTTGCCTGAAGATCTTCTGTGCCTGAGGAAGATTCTTGCAGTTTGAGGCTGGGTGAGAAGAGCCACTTCCTGGCATTAGGGCTGAGGGGACTTTGGAGCTGGACTCTTAGGGACACATTTCCCAGGTTCAGGCAGGTCATTAGTATTTGTTGCTTTTCCTGAGCTATCAGTGCTATAAGACCTCATTCTCTCAGAGGCAAGTGAATTATTGTGTCACCTACAGTGCCATGCTCTGTCGGTACTCAGTCAAATTCCCCAGCTCACATTGCAGGGACCTGTTGCTACTGGATCTGTGTGAAGCATCTTCAATATTTCTCTTGGCCAACTCTTATCTGGAGTGGTGGTGCTTAATATAAGGATCAGGCTGTGGCATACCCTACTGTTGTGACTTGCTGAGTTGATAGGTTTATTTGCAGATGGTGTGGCAGATGAGAGTTGCAAATAGTGTAGAGGAACAGGTAGTTTTCTTGCTTGGAAAAGAGTCTTGCCCTGCTCTGCTTTGCTTGGTGGGACAATAGCTGGCATGGCCTCAGCTAGAAGGCTGGCCTGCAGTGTTCTGGGGCTCTCTTACTGGCATCCCACTGATGCACAACAGTAGGCCAGATGCCTTCCTTCTGCCTTTGGTTTGGCTCTCAGAGACCTGATGTGGGTGGAGGCACAGGGAGGACAACAATTCACTGTTGAGTCTGATCACAGCTTCCTGGCTCGGTCACTGCCAGCACAGCTGTGGAAGCAAGAAGTTTGGGAAGATACCCTAAGCTCTGTGGAACAAGGTTGTCTCATGACCACTTTAATCTGGTTGAAGAACAAGAGAACAGCAGGAAGATAGGTGCTGGTTACAACTTCCCAGCATCTCTTTATGTGTTACCTGTGATCACAGACATGCCATGAGCTGAACTATGAGCATATCCAGATGCAATTTTCCCCACTCCCCTTGCCCTGCTTCTGTGTTGACTTTCTTCAGAAGACTGTACATTCTGTCTTGGAAATAGAGATTCTGACCCATCTCACAAAGTTGTCATCTCTGCATCAGCTGGGTTCATGTCTCTTCTTCCTCCTATCGCTTCTTGGTATGGGAGAAGGATCTGAGAGGAGTTTTGTTCCAGTCTTCACAGCTCTTCTGGATGCTAGAGCTCTTCTGCCATATTTTCCCCTCTACTGGGCGAGAGTCTTTTTGCTCATTATCTTCTGTGCATACAGTGTTCCAAGGAAAAGGCACTGTACCTGAGAATAACATCAGCCTTACTGGAGGCCTTTGGGTGCCTGGAATCAGGAACATCCTTGTGAGTAGGCAGGACAGAGACCAGAGGATGTACTGCATTCCTTGTGCATGCCAGGAGCCTCCAGACCCCCTTGCACCCTGTCCCTTGTCTGTGCCTTTCCTTTTGCTGACTTTTGCCCGGTGCTCATAAGTATCCTTGTCTGAAGTGTGTGTCATGCCAGCTCCCCTTGCCTTCTTTGTCCTCCTCTGCCAACTGATTAGCAGAGGGGCTTGTTTTGGCAGGGTTGTGTCTGCCCGCTTCTTGCCTGTCAGTGTTGGTTTTCCACTCAAGTGCTGCAGTGTTGTCAGCATGCTTAACTCTGACTTGGCTTCTCTGTGGCCTGTTTCAGTGCGAGGAAGCAGCCTATGAGGAGCGGCGTTACCCAGCTGGGAAGTGGGCATGTGTCACCAAGGGGGAGCCCATGTATGAGCAGAGCATCTCCATGAGCTTCATGAAGCTCATGCGCTACATCTGCAAAGAGAACTCAGTAGGTGTGTGCAGGCAACGGCTGGAGGGGCTGGCAGGCTGCACAGAGGGAGGGCTTTGCCACTGTCCATCTGGAGTGGGGAGGAGGGCTGCCACTTCTGACCCACCTGTCTAACTGCCTTCCTACCTCCTTCTAGGTTGCTATCTGGGCATGACAGTCCCGGTGCTCAACGAAATCCACCTGACAAAAGACGAGACCGAGCTGGAGCGTGAGGTTGTAACTGCCTATTATCTCCCAGAAGAGTTCCAGCAAAATCCTCCTGTTCCCCTGGACCCTGAAATCCACATCACTGAGAGGGCACCGCTCCGGGTTATAACCAGGTGACCCCAGCACCAGAGGTGTTTTCTCAGCTCAGCAGAGATGTACGAACTCCCTGCATGGCTGCTGTGGTTCCTTGGGCAGAGGGATGGGAGCCCTGGCTGTGGGAAGGGGGAATGTGCTGGCTCTGTTACTTATGTTGCTTCCTTTGCTACAGGGTTTTCTATGGGATGACCACTGAAGAGACAATTCTGCGGGAGATCAATCTCTTCTGGGAGCTCTTGGGCTCCACAGACACTGTGCTCCGGGAAACCTACATTGTGGCTTCTTATGAAAATCCCAGTATCCCTCAGCGCCGCAATGAGATCTGGTTCATCTGCCGAGCAGAGTGAGTCCCCTCTGTGACCGCAAACCGTCCTGTGACTGGGCCTGGTGCAGATGGCAGTTCTGACCCAAAGGAGATGGAGCACGTCCTGACCCACTATTCACCCACAAAATGACAGACCAAGAGACTGCGGAGTGGGTTTGCAGTCTGCCCTGCAAGGGTCCTATCAGGGGAAATCCTGCCTGGTCTGCACTTCACCTGCCCCCACAGGGGCCAGCTGAGGCTGGAGCTGGCACTAGGGACAACCTCTGCAGCAAGCTCCTGGTGGGAAGCATGTGGTGGGGGGTCATTAAGGCAGTAACCATGTGGGCTTGTGCAGTGTGCTAGCCTGACCTGTGCTCCTCTCAGCTCTGAGCTGGGCTTGCAGAGCCGTGCCACATATGCCAGTGGGGCTTGTGATTGGCAGAAGCACAAGCTGATGGTGTCTAGAAGGCAAATGACTGTGTATAAGGTGTGGGGCTCTGTGTGGCCTCTGGCCTGCTTCCTGTGAGAATGGCTGCCTGTCCCGAACAGAGCCACTGAAATGCTGCTACAGGGACAGTGGAGTTTGAAGCGGGAAAGGGCTTGAATTCAGGTGGGAATCCTGAATGTTTCCTGCTGGGGTGGCTCTCTTTGGACTGTTAGGTGCCTCCCTGGCTGTCACTCAACAGTCGTCAGCCAGGACTGGGGCGCTGGCAGCCTTTGTCCATCTATTGTGGGTGCTGTTTTGCAGACCTGCTGCTGAGAGGGACAGGTGCTGACAGCAGCAGCCGTGGCACCACTGTGTGTTGTGCATTGATCAGTAAGTTTCACATCCACAAATACCGTCATGCTTTCCTGGGGGAAGCTGGCAATGCCAACACTAAATAAACCCAGCTCAAACCACTGCAGCTACAGATCACTGATGGTGGGGATGTGGGGTGCGTGGGTTGGCTTGGGAAGAGGCTTGCTGTCTCCTTCCTGAAGATGCTCCAGGCTGCAAAGCTGTGGCTAATTTGAAGGGCTCTAATGTTTGCCCAGGTTATGACCCCGTGTTAAGCCAAGCACAGCCTCTGCACTGCTGCACATGCTGCTTTTGTTGCTACTGCAAACAACTGTGGGCACACTCCCCTGCCGGTAAGGTGCTTTGCTGTTGGATGGGGTCTGCTCTAGCCTCATTTTTCTCCATTCAAAATTTGGATCCTTTGGCTGTACTGCATATGGGCTCCTGATCTTTGGGGTTGAGAATTCTAATGTGACTGTACGTCATGCTGGTTGGCTGCAGAAACATGTACTTCTGCAGGGATGTGTTTAACTGGCTTGGTGTCAAGGGACTGGTGACTGCTTCTGACCCAGTTCCCAAGGGGTTTCCTCCTGCTGTGACTGAATGTGTGCTGTGTGGCTCGCTGCCTGCTGCTCAAACTCTGGCTCTGGCCCTTTGGCCCTACACTGCAGCTGGAGGGTAGGAATGGGGGGAAAGCCAGGGCCAGCTCTGTGGTCTCACTGCCCTTAGCAGCACAGTTGGCTTCTGCCATTCCTTTCTTCAGTCAGATGCTGTTCACTGGCCTCTCTAGGCTGGCTTGCCTTCTGGCAGCAAGGAGTCTGGCTGCCTAGCTGGTGGCTGTGGGGAGAGTGGGGCTGAGCATGTTACACCCTTCTCTGCAAGGGAGCAAGGGAGCTTCAGGCAGAGTCTAGGCAAGCACAGCAAGGGCAGACAGTGGTTTCCTGGGTATCTTATGGTGCAGTTCTTGTTCCTGAGACACTAAAGGCAATATGGACTGGGGAGATGCCGTGACAGCCTGCAGCTCTAAGGCTGATGTGGTAAGTGCTCCTCAGACAAGTCATGATACCTGGGTCAGCAGTGCTGAATCACTTTCCTTCCTGGGGAAAAAGCAGCAATGCTCTTATGTGAGGCTCAGGTCAGGTGGCTCAGTATCAGTGGGAGAGCAAGTCTGCCAGGGTGTGTGGGACAGAGACACTTTCTCTTACTACACATTAGCTGCTTTGCTTGTCTTGAGCTTGCAGGTTGAAATAAAACTTCCTTTCTAGAGCTTTTTGAGTAGGGTACCACTTCCTCTGAGGCTTCTTGGTCCCCAACCACAACCAGAACAGCTTTTGGTGGCAAGAGATGATGGCTTCCCTACACGAGGGGACTGGTCTGTGGTTACTGGCAAAGTTCCACGGCTGCATGCCCTGTGGGAACAGCTCCGTGGTCTTCCAGGAGGTGGTAATGGAGGCTTCTGGTGCAGCACCAGAGTGGCACTGCCACGCAGGGCATCAGCACGCTCCAATCCTGTGCCACAGGTTTTGCTGAGTAAAGGCTTCAGCATCCTCTGTGATGGATTCAGCAGTGCTTGCGGGGATGTTGTGTGCCTCATGGCGAGTCTTCCACGCAGTACCAAAAGCAGCTAGCATTTTGGAGGCTCAACAAACCGGCTGGAAAGCTGGCCTTCAGAGCTACAGCTGTGAAAGCCCGTGTTGCAGGACTGCAGCGCATTCTACCGGAGGCATTGGGTTGGGCAGAGAGGCCTCCAGCCTGAGCCATGCAGATGGCCAGACCAGCTAATGCCTCGGCTTGGGCCCTGCAGAGGAGCAGCAAGGGGCAGGCTTCTTATGCTTCTTATGCTGTGTCCAGCCCTCTGCCCCTAGCAGGGTGTGGAGCTCCTGGCCCCTGCTGCCCCAGTACTTTCATAGGGTCTCTCACAGCGGTACAGACCGGGAGCTTCTGCCATCAACTTAACAGCCCGACTACGAGGAGCCCCTGGGCGGGAAGGGACCTCTGTCGCCTCCTCGCTGCTCCGGGCACGCCGTGTTCGGCAGGAGCAGGGGTCGCGCAGCGCAGGGGCTCCCGGCGCGGCCCTCACGGCCCCCGGTACCGGGGAGGCTCTGCACGATGACGCCGGCGAGCCCCTCACCTCGCGATGGAGGCACGGGGGGTCCGAGCCCGGCACCGCCCGCGGGACCCCGTTCCTCCCGACCCCGCCCGGTTTCCGGTGGCTGCCCCTCCCCCGGAACCCCTCCTGCCGGCGGCGGCGGGCGGGGCGGCGGCGGCGGCATGGCTGGGGGCTGGCGGGCGCGCTGACTGGCGCGGCGGCGGCGAGGGGTGCGGAGGATGGCGGCGGTGCGGGCGCTGCTGGTGCTGGGTGAGTGCGGGCCAGGGCAGCCGCCGCAGCTTCCCCCGCCCCGGGAATGCAGGTCCCGGCGGCGGGGCGGGGGCGGAGGGGCTTCGCGCCCCCTCCCACGTCCGTAGCTGGGCCGCGATGGGGCCGGCGGCGGGGCGGGGGGCCCCGCGGCTGCCGCCGCCTCCGGGGCTGAAGGAGGTGCGGCCGTCCCCGGGGCCGAGCCAACGGTGGTCCGCGCCCCCTCGGGTTGGGGGGGGCCCGCGGGGCTCCGGCGCAGAGCGGGGGCTGCGTGGGGCCCTGTGTGTTCCAGCCTGGGGGCGGCCGCGCCCCCGCCCCGCGCAGCCCCGGGAGCCAGCGGGGCGCCTCGCCCGGCTCTCCTTCCCCGGCGTGCGCCGGCTCGCCCTGCCCGCCCGCCCGCTCCTATGGGGGAGCGTCGTGCCTAAATCCAGAGGGATGCAAATACGCCAGACATTTGCCGTCTGGGAGATGGCGAGCAGGCGCTCCCGGAGCAGCCGCGCTCCGGGGAGGGCTCCCGGAGGCCCCTCTGGCGAGGCTTGGCCCCGACCCGCGCCCCTCCGGGCTCCGTGGAGAGAGCTGAGACTGGGAAGGCTGTTTGTGTGCAGTGGTGGGTGGTTTTCCTATGAAATCTGATCAGATCAAAACTCGGAGAACAAACAGTGGGCGCGCGGGGGGGTTCCACCCGTGGAGATTGACCTCCCGGCTCCTGGAGGGGTTTTGTCCCTTGCTGAGCGCATCTGGATGAGCCCTCTCCCCCGCCCCCCGTGCCACCCTCCATGCCGTGTAGGGTGTGAGCCAGCCTCCCTGCCCTGTCCCAGCTCTGCGGCCCCTTGATTTTCCTGGCTGCTTGCTTTTCACGTTGTCCAACCACAAAGCCCAGACCCCCCTTCCTTCGCTCTGCTCCATGGTGTTTCTCCCCCGCTGGCCTCTTAGCACCGTTTCCCTTGTCTGAGGAGCCCAAGGTCTTGGCTGTGGCATGAGAGGCGCAGGGGCTGTGAGCTGGTTTTCAGCCTGGCTTTGAAAGGTCCCACGGCTGCCCCATAACAGAGCACCTTGTTTCTTCTCTTTGGAGCCCTGCAGATGGGGAGGGTCCTGCGTGCTGCTAGTAGCTGTTTGCAGTCCTTTCTGTCTCACTGTGCACAGTTGTAGAGTTTGCTTTCCGGTTTCTGCTGCAAAATCAAGAGCAATCTTAGTTTAGCACTTGGGTAGGATACTGCCTCTGAGGGAATGATATCTATAGCGCTTCTGCCCTTCCATATCTGGAGGTGTGGCTGAGCCCTGCTGCCAGGCGGTAAGTATTGTCCAATTTACAGCTGATAAGCACGAAAAGCAATGCTTACTTAGCTGATTAGCACCGTGATTGCAGAACGTCTTGGCAGCCTTCTGGGAAGGCTGTTTCTGGAGAGGGAGTGCGTGCTTAGCTTGGGCCCTGGATTGAAGCCACAGGGCCCTGTGAACCTGCCACAGCATTCACCTAGCTGCCAGCAGGCCACTACCGGCAGCTGGGATGTGCAGACCTGCCTGAGAGGGCTGTCGGTCGCCTTTCCTACCAGCACACTCCGCTCTGCAGTTGCTGGAGTTTCTGTGCGGCTCCAAGCATGTACACTCCTTGTTTCTCTTGCTGAGCAAGACCATGTCCTGCAGCACTGGGAGGAACACGCTGCTGTTGGGCTCACAGACACTAAAAAATCTCAGATGGCAAAACATACTGTTTGACATCTAGGTTTTTACTGGCTAGTGGTAAGTTTTGTGGGCTGCAAGGTGTCGTCTCCCTTTGCCTGTAGATGCTGTTTGGAAAGAGCACTGGGCAAAGACCTGTGAGGCATGGAGGCTCATACAGGTCCTTTGCCATGTGTTTCAGAAGCGCTCGGTGCCTGGACTGCTGGTCCTTGTTCCTTCATTTCTGTTGTTCAGTGAAGCTCTGATCTTTCTGGCAGTGGCACTGCAGCATGCTAAATGTGTGCTGACTTATGCTGGAACATCTGGTTGAAGTGCTAGCAGAGGAAATATTTGCTGAGTCAACTTTTCTTTAAAGCGAAAAACCCTCAAAAGGTCAATTTTGTTCTGGAAATGCCTCCATGTCCTGTGGTGAGCTCTGTGTTTCTGTATGGCAATACTTTTCTCATGTCTGCTAGCAAGCCTGGTCTTAAAGAAGGAAATTTCTGAAGACGGTAATGATCTGATCCCCCTTGGGACTTGGCTGTATTCAGATGGGGCTCTAGGCGGGCTGGAACCCTGATGTGGCAGGAGCTTCAAAGGCATAGCAGCTCCATAGTCGTGACCATAGGCACTTCTTTGTCTGCACAGTGGGGTCCTGAACCACTGTGAGCTGGCACTGATCAGAGGGTTGTCGTGTTCTGCATCCTTTAAAGATGTCCTCTGCGCTCTTAATTGATCTGGAATGAAGCCGTCTTCTAAAGGCAGATGGGCAGACGTTTAAACTGCAGCAAGCACCCTGTATTTAGTTGCATGCTGGGTGATGAACACTTGCTGATTGAGAATATGTTTCCTCCCCGTCTGCTGAATACCTCTTGCTCAAGGGAGGCAAGTGGATGGCGGCTCATATCTGCTAGTAGGTCAGATGTTTGGCCAAGGGCTGGTCCATGTTGCATCCGAGCGGGTAGGCACATGTGTCCTAGGAGAGCAGGCTGCACTTTCTCTAAAGGCCATGGAGCTCAAGGGGAATGGAGAAAAGAAGGTAGGAAAGGGGTAGGAAGAGAAGAGCCTGGCTTTGGGGCAGTGGACAAGAACGCAAGGGTCAGTTTG